CAAAAAGTATTATTATTCGTAATTGTTCTCAAATGCTAGCAGAGCTTAAGCAATTTTGTTTTGTCTGAATTTTAGAAAGGGTAACTAGGATTAATATTAAGCAGCGTTCACTGTTGCGGTGAAGGCCACATTCTTCGTTGCCAGCAGGAGTGTCTCAACGATATCTTTTCATATTTTATATTTTCTTCCAACGCATCTACGGTAAGTTCCCATGCGAGAAAAATTGCCAAAAGACTTCTATTCCCATTTAGGGCCGTTTTGTTCAAACCAAGCCAAGCTCCTGCCTGACCCTAGTTTATTTGACGGTTTCCTAAGACCGTTGGTCTTCAACACTTGCTCATTCGCGCGCAGTTGTACTGCGTATACATCAACACTGGAAGCTGCTAAGATTACATTCTTGATATTCTTGAACGCTAGATCTTTTGAAAGTTTACGTGAGCACTGTGAATACAGCTGTTTGCGGGATGGTGATCTTTGCATCTGTTCTTATAGCTCAATCCCGCCACATGTCATGCAGAGTGCCGAAAATTTGCTAATGCCAGTCCAACACGACGGATCACCTCAGGATGAATGTCAATACTGTCGGATGACACAGTTCTAAGATATTTGAAATGGTCTCCGACCATTCCATAATATTGTTGAACTGTCTGCTGCCACAGCGCTCTCATAATCTCAGTCTTTGGCGTTCACGTTTAGCCCACTCCAACCGGGACATGGCACACAATCTGTGGGGATGTCAATAAGCCAGTTGCGTGATCGGCTTAGCAGCGCGGTGTGAAAGGAAGTAAAAAACATACGCTCCATCACTATAGTTCTAAATAGTTCTGAATGCAGGAGTACGATTTTACTATTGGCGCTTAAATGCCATCGCAATAGTCTTTTCTAGCATTCACCTAACACATAAGGATTCGGTGCCACAGCTCTCTGATCGCCAGCTTTGTCAAAGCGAGTCTCTTATACGCGCCAGGATCGACCGAATCAATCCTCATCAGTTGTGATAAATCTCCCAGTCAAATGGATCATCTTTGTGCACATTATCTGCACGAAGACCGTCAGTGAATATGGAATATAACATATCATAATCCGGTCTTGCATAATAGTTCAGGCTTTGTAGGTGATTAAGAAAGTGTAGCATTTCAGGCTGGTTTTCTCCAAGCAAATATTCATAATCCGTAGTTTTCTTCATCGCGACAATCTTTATGATCTGATTTTCACTGTGCCATGGAAGCCGCGCCACGAGCATCTCGAGCATCACATAGAAGAGCGACCAAAGATCGTCGCGACGACTGGTGTCTTCGAAATGAAGGCTGCCGACGGACGCATAACGTATCGTTCCCTTGAATCTGCAGTATTGCCTTGGTCGCCGCAACCTACTACTGGTCAGGTCTGCGTAGGCACGACTAAGTCCAAAATCTATGATATACACAAGTCTGTGCAATCGGTCCTCAGCGCTTCCCAGGACGAAGTTAGCCGGTTTAATATCTCGATGTAGGAAACCGTGGTCGTGCATCATTTGCACGGCCTCCAGCATTTGAATGCCCAACCTCAGTGTGGTGGATCGAGTGAACCTTCTTCTAGGCATGAAATACCTCAGCGTGTGCAAACTTTGACCCAGATGCTGCATGACCAAAAAATTCACGTTTCCTATGTTCCCGCACCCTAAAAATTTCGCAATGTGCTGTCCGCCCTGCAAAGCTCGCAGGATATACGTCTCTGGTTCAAGCTGAGGCAAGGAGCAGTCAACCTTCTCCGTCTTAATCGCCACCGGCCATCCCATTTGAATGTCGTAGCCGCGAAAGATCTTTCCAAACGATCCTTTTCCAATTGCATCCAACACCTCCCATCGTTCCTTAATTACCATTCCAACCACAAGCGAGTTCACTTCTTCGTTTGAATTCAAGAAGGACACATTTTGATCATCGTTACAGAGTTCAGCATTGTTTTCTGAGGTTATTTTTGACCTATTCTTCGTTACACCAGTAGATTCTTCCTTTGCCCATCGAGCATCCTTCTTCCCGTCTGCATTGTCAATGCCTAAAAGCTTAAACGTTAGGCAGAAGAACCTGATCAGTGTCGTATCGCATTAATTCCTTTTAGATATCGCATGAAAGAATACTCATTACTTATAGTTCATAAAAATGCATAATCATGATATCTGTATCTTTAAATTTCGACCTATCCTTTTTGTATACTGAAACTGAAAGCCTGATAAATCAGCTTTCAGTTTTCGATTGAGTAACACTTGTCAGATCCTGTGCCTTTCTGTTCGCATAAGCTGCTGCAGTGCTACAGGGAACCTAGTAATTACCGCTACGCGAGTGATATATTCAACAGCATGTGTTGAAAATTACATGATGGATAGTGAGTGGAGCGGTTCATCTGGTAAGGGTATAGGTTCTATTCAGTAGTACGAATCCATCAGAGATGACATTTAAATTATAGAACTTAAATATGGAAAGAATTGTAATTGATATCCGGCCAAGAAGCACTTAATTGGATCTGCAGCAGAAAATAGTAAAAAATAGAGTAGCAATAGAAATCATTAAGTTGCCAAATTTCGCCATGATCCCATAGTACAAAATATAAGCTCGCTTATAGATGATGATGATCATAGATACGATTACGGCAATGACATAATGAAGATGAATTCGGTCGTGATCATCATCGTAATTCTAGTGATAGTGATAAGTTGGTGGTAAAAGCTATGATAAGGAAAATATTTCTCCAACAAGTAGTGCAGTGTGAAAGTGATGCGCTGATAGTAGAGACGGTTCATAGGTGAAAAATAACTTAAAGCAGGTAATATGTACTTTTGTACCAGTATATGAATGTATCAGCCAGTTATCTAGGCGAAGCTCAGGCGATGCAAAGGACATATGCGAAGTCGCAAAGCATTACCATATCGCACTGTTGATTTAACTACTTACCTGCTTCTAGTTAGGATTCTGTCTGTTCCTGGCACAAATATATAAGATGCATGTCACTTTGTCTACCTACACTTGACCAGTTATCCTACCTAATAGAAGTTGGTTATGTTTAATAGCATCGTTTAATAAGAAGAGCAGAATTAAACACAGCAGCATGATTACTGTCAAAATCATTTAAGACTATTGAGGAGTTCAGATAGCAGAGTTATCAAGGTTTGTAATGCCTGACTTGGATTAAATGATATTGCTGGTCTTCTTATAAAGAGCGTGGTTTCAATAAATGGCATCATTAAAATCGTACAAATAATCCGATAGACTACCCTATTGCGCTGTATGTAATAGAAGTTTTCCATCCTGTTTCTTTATTAGGTCTCACTACCCATGCATCAGCGAAACGTTGTACTTTTGGATTTATTTTATCACCAGCAATCGATTTAGGAAAGTGCTCATTCTTATAAGCTAAAAAAATTCCGTAGGATAGACGGCGTTGTGTACTTACCTTCACGGTAAGAAATTGGCATACAAATACCGTGCATAAAGCCACTGGAATAGTAGCTAGCTAAATGGGCATGCAATCATCTGTCTGGAAATTGTTCATTCTTCCTCATGTTATACGGCTACAGCGTGGATTTTAACGTTGAGTTTAATCTTGCTGTAAATATTTGTTGACTTTACACTTTTAGCACATTAAATATTTTGGAATCAAAATGTTATAAGCGAGCAGTAATGTAGTAACAGTGGCTTGGTTGTGCTCCAGAGAAAAACAGGTTTCGATTACCAACGTGCCGTAATTCTTAATACTCAATTAGTAATTACCTTGAGCAAGGAATTTATCATGCTGGCTTCATAACAGCTAACCGAGATATTGACCTATAGAACGCAAACACTGCAGCAATCTAATGTGGTCATGCCAAAGAATGTGAGACATAAAGCACGCTAAATGATGGTCCGCTTTACGGTTGCATTCTCCATGATCCACTTGACAACGAACTAGAAATCAAAAAAAAATAAGGATGAGTTGTATTCAAACCTACATGAAAAAACGTTGTTGAGTGCAAATAGATATTCCAAAACGCTGATATCTTTAAGGTTGGTATCATTTTAAACTAAAAGTACATTTCTGAAATTCATAAAGTCCAGTGCCAATATATGAAGTGAGAAGCCTTCAGAAGCGGAACGTCATTTACTTCAATGATTAAGTGCACAATGTTTAAGTGAATCGATCCATTTTAGTAATGTTCCATTCTTCCCCACGCCCCCAAAATTATCCTTCATGGGAGCAAGGAGAATTTTTCGAAACTTTGAAAAATGCATGTCAATAATAAACTTGCAAAATTGCAACTTAGAATATGGGGGAATACATTTTTGCTTAAAACTGCCAGAAGGCTGTTTGTGAGAGTAAATAACGATTTAAATATGGGAAATAATGTCATAACGAAGCACGTTAGAGTGTACTCTCCTTCGCTGAAATCTCATAAACTGAAAAATTGTTTGTGAATGATACGACAGTGACCACGAAGTGAAAGATTTCAAAATCTGCCTATTCTAAAAAATGATCAGATGAACTAGAAAGCTGGTTCCTGCGCTGATTTGGTATATTTGCAATGGAAATTTAGACGAATTTCCCTTTGGCTGGAAACCCGTTGTCGAAGACAAAGAGTGATTCTGAAGAGGAAAGTATCCTGTGCTGTAACAACAAAATCACATAATTGTAATATCAGAAGCCGCTTTATAAAAATAGCGGACTTTATCGAAATAGGGAACATTGTAGCTCTAAATTTGTTCGTCTTGTACGTAAGAAACGCATTCCATGTTATTTAGGTTGTACCAATGAAAGAACGAAACTAAAAATGTGGTGTCTTATTTTTAAAGTCATTTTTAAAGTCATTTTATGGATTTTAGACGCATTTGGACAATTTGAAAACATTAAACTCTGCAAAGGATAGATTCCCATTTATCTTTTGGTCAAGGTCAGTAGATGTTGTAGTAAAAAATAGTTACTTAATGTACGTTGTAGAAATAACTTGCATTCTACGATCTAATTCTTGATTACTGTAAAACAGTGTTTTTGTGCTGCTATACGATTATTTAACCTAAGTGCTACGGTGTTCTTATCGGGGCAAATTTGAAATTTCGTCATCTGTGTTAGTTGTTTGGTATCTGATTTATACATCATGTTATATGCCTGAGAGCGAGGTTAATGTTGCGATAGATTGGTAGTTTGCACTGCATCTTAAAGATGTCAGGTTCAAACCTCATAAATTGTCAGTTTTCTTGTATTAACTCCTAAGTCCCTTAAGCAAAGAATTCATTCAATTATGCTTCTGTTCAACCAGCAAAAAAATGAATAACACGTCGTTGGCCTGTCAATAATATGGGCAGCATGATGTTTTGGTCTGGTCATATCGGTCAAAGGGTGCTGTTTGGTGCGTGTACTCGATGGCTGCCAGTCGATGTTAGCGTAAATTAAATAGACGAACACGTACATGTGCTATTCAGTTGATTATCATTCGGTCCAACCGAATCCCGCGTGATGACCATTAATTTGAAGTGGTGGCCATAAGTTATTGATGATTATCTAAGGAGGTCTGTTAGGAATGAACGAGGATGCGAGTTTGAATTCTGTTATGTATTCCGTAATAAACTTGTTTTCTTTATTGTAATTGCACTAATTTTATGTTGAAGATAAGGTAGGCTATAAGGACGAT